ACCATAATTTTTATTGACTATAAAAAAATCATATTAAAATTTTATAACAAAAATAATTTCTTCATTGTATATAGCAACAAATATATAAACTGTGTAAATAGAAAAGTGTGTGTATATACCAATAAAACATGTCAATGTTATTTAAATAAAAGAAAAAAATTTTTTTCAAATAAAGACTACACAAGGCGTGGATTTTTTAAAAAAATATTTTTCAAAGACTACGCAAGGCGTGGATTTTTTAAAGAATATTTTTCAAAATGATTCACACAAGGCGTGGATTTTTTGAAGAATATTTTTCAAAAGGATTCAGACAAGGCGTGAATTTTTTGAAGAATATTTTTCAAAAGGATTCAGACAAGGCGTGAATTTTTTAAAGAATATTTTTGAAAAGGATTCACACAAGGCGTGGATTTTTATGCCCTACACAACTATGTTGTCAGGGAATTATAGCTTTGTGCAGCCCCAAGAGTTTGCAATGCCGCGAAATATTTCCTATACCCACCTTTAAGTATACCAAGGCGTCATATTTTTACTAGCTGAGTCGATCTAGACATGTGTGTCCGTCCGTCCGTCTGTCCATTATAATTTGTAAACACGATACAGGCCACAGTTATGGACCAATCTTCACGAAATTTTGCATGTAGAATGGGTTCTGGCCAAGACCCATATTGTTTTTGGTAAAGATCAGTTAATATTTAGGGGATGAAATGGACCAAATACTAAATTTTTGTCGGTTTTTCTGGTCGCTCCAGAGGCCGCAATTATGGCGCGAACATCGCGAAATTTTACATGGAGAAGGGGATCGGGCCAAAGAATAAGCATGCCTGTTTTGATAAGGATCGGTCAATATTTAGCGGGTCAAATCGACCCCGACTTTTGTGTGAAAAATTACAAATTTTGTATTCTATTGCTTATATATTTTGCCCCTGAAGGACATAGACCCGAGAAGTTAATTGTATATCCAAGAGGAGTGGTTGACCTTTAAATTGATACCAATTATATGGTCGTACGTACTCAGATGTGGGAGTTACACTTAAATATTTACAGGTGCTTACGTACTGAGATATTATTTAGTAACCCATTACCACACAATAGGGCGGAAATATGCCGCTGGTCGCTCTGAAATTTTCCATTTGTGGTCAAGTACAACGCGTAGTATTTTCGGGGATGATCAGATAATAATTTTGGGATGTAGTGGACCGAAGACTTCGTTTTTTGTGCTTTTTATACCCTACACAACTATGTTGTCAGGGTATTATAGCTTTGTGCAGCCCCAAAAGTTTGTAACGCCGCGAAATATTGGTCCTAGACCCACCTTTAAGTATACCGATCGTCATATCTCGACTAGTTGAGTCGATCTAGACATGAGTGTCCGTCCGTCCGTCTGTCCATTATAATTTGTAAACACGATACAGGCCACAGTTATGGACCAATCTTCACGAAATTTTGCATGTAGGATGGGTTCTGACCAATGAAGACCCCTATTGTTTTTGGGAAAGATCGGTTAATATTTAGGGGATGAAATGGACCAAATACTAAATTTTTGTCGGTTTTTCTGGTCGCTCCAGAGGCCGCAATAATGGCCCGAACATCGTGAAATTTTGCATGGAGAAGGGGATCGGGCCAAAGAATAAGCATGCCTGCTTTGATAAAGGTCGGTCAATATTTAGCGGGTCAAATGGACCCTGACTTTTGTGTGAAAAATTACAAAATTGGTATTCTATATCGTATAGATTTACCCCTGAAAAACATAGACCCGAGAAGTTGATATTATATCCAAGAGGAGTGGTTGACCTTTAAATTAGTACCAATTATATTGTTGTATGTGCTCGGATGTGGGAGTTACACCTAAATATTTACACGTATCTCCGTATTCGTATATTATTTAGTAACCCATTATGACTCTAGATAGCGGAACTATAGCGCTGATCGCTTTGAAATGTTCCATGAGGTTTCAGTTATGGTCAAGGACAACGTCTATAATTTTCGGTGATGATCAGATAATAATTTTGGAATGAAGTGGACCGAAAACTTAATTTTTTGTGTTTTTTTTTCGAATCGATCTATAGACCACAAATGAAAGCCGCACATCACAACACAACCCACGGTGAAGGGAATGTGGACAATAGCTGTACTGAATATTCGTAATATTCGGAAAATATGTCAGTGTTAGGAAGAGGAGCTGTTTACCTCTAATCGAGCAAGAGGGTGCAAATATTACGAAATATTGCCCAGGCTCGGAATAAACATCCGCAGAAAATTTGAGTTCCGTGGTAGTTGTGTAGGGTATCGTATGGTCGGCCCCGTCCGACTATACTGCTCCGCTCACTGGTTTAAAGAAAATTTTTGAAAAGGATTCACACAAGGCGTGGATTTTTTAAAGAATATTTTTGAAAAGGATTCACACAACGCGTGGATTTTTTAAAGAATATTTTTGAAAAGGATTCACACAAGGCGTGGATTTTTTAAAGAGTATTTTTGAAAAGGATTCACACAACGCGTGGATTTTTTAAAGAATATTTTTGAAAAGGATTCACACAAGGAGTGGATTTTTTAAAGAATATTTTTGAAAAGGATTCACACAAGGCGTGGATTTTTTAAAGAATATTTTTGAAAAGGATTCACACAAGGCGTGGATTTTTTAAAGAATATTTTTGAAAAGGATTCACACAAGGCGTGGATTTTTTAAAGAATATTTTTGAAAAGGATCCACACAAGGCGTGGATTTTTTAAAGAATATTTTTGAAAAGGATCCACACAAGGCGTGGATTTTTTAAAGAATATTTTTGAAAAGGATCCACACAAGGCGTGGATATTTTAAAGAATATTATTTCAACGATCCACACAAGGCGTGGATTTTTTAAAGAATATTTTTTCAAGGACTATCTAGGCGTAGATTTTTAAAAGAATATTTTTTCAAGGACTATCAAGGCGTAGATTTTTAAAAGAATATTTTTTAAAGGACTATCAAGGCGAAGATTTATAAAAGAATATTTTTTCAAGGACTACCAAGGCGTAGATTTTTAAAATTATATTTTTTCAAGGACTATCAAGGCGTAGATTTTTAAGATGATATTTATTATAGATTTTTAAAATTATATTTTTTCAAGGACTACCAAGGCGTAGATTTTTAAAATTATATTTATTATAGATTTTTAAAATGAAATTTTTTCAAGGACTACCAAGGCGTAGATTTTTAAAATTATATTTATTATAGATTTTTAAAATGAAATTTTTTTCAAGGACTACCAAGGCGTAGATTTTTAATATGATATTTTTTAAATTAATTTTTTTCAAGGACTACCAAGGCGTAGATTTTTAAAATGATATTTTTTCAAGGACTACCAAGGCCTAGATTTTAAAAATTATATTTTTTCAAGGACTATCAAGGCGTAGATTTTTAAAATGATATTTTTTCAAGGACTACCAAGGCCTAGATTTTAAAAATTATATTTTTTCAAGGACTATCAAGGCGTAGATTTTTAAAATGATATTTTTTCAAGGACTACCAAGGCGTAGATTTTTAAAATGATATTTTTTCAAGGACTACCAAGGCGTAGATTTTTAAAATTATCAAGGCGTATCAAGGCGTAGACTTTTTAAAGGATATTTTTCAAGGACTACCAAGGCGTAGATTTTTAAAAGAATATTTTTTCAAGGACTATCAAGGCGTAGATTTTTAAAAGAATATTTTTTCAAGGACTATCAAGGCGAAGATTTTTAAAAGAATATTTTTTCAAGGACTATCAAGGCGTAGATTTTTAAAATTATCAAGGCGTATCAAGGCGTAGACTTTTTAAAGGATATTTTTCAAGGACTATCAAGGCGAAGATTTTTAAAAGAATATTTTTTCAAGGACTATCAAGGCGTAGATTTTTAAAAGAATATTTGTTCAAGGACTATCAAGGCGTAGATTTTTAAAAGAATATTTTTTCAAAGACTACCAAGGCGTAGATTTTTAAAATGATATTTTTTCAAAGACTACCAAGGCGTAGATTTTTAAAAGGATATTTTTTCATGGACTACCAAGGCGTAGATTTTTAAAAGGATATTTTTTCATGGACTACCAAGGCGTAGATTTTTAAAAGGATATTTTTTCATGGACTACCAAGGCGTAGATTTTTAAAAGGATATTTTTTCATGGACTACCAAGGCGTAGATTTTTAAAAGGATATTTTTTCATGGACTACCAAGGCGTAGATTTTTAAAAGGATATTTTTTCATGGACTACCAAGGCGTAGATTTTTAAAAGGATATTTTTTCATGGACTACCAAGGCGTAGATTTTTAAAATGATATTTTTTCAAAGACTACCAAGGCGTAGATTTTTAAAATGATATTTTTTCAAAGACTACCAAGGCGTAGATTTTTAAAATGATATTTTTTCAATTTTTTTTATTTTTTTTTTATTTTTTAATATTTGTTGTGCAGTGTATGTGGGCTTTTCGCGAATTTTTTGGAAGTCAATCTTTATGGATGAAATAAAATACAAATCCTCTAAATATAACACCCCAATTTCCAACTGTAAATATTTAGAATTGTGTTAACAAAAAAAAGGCTGCATAACAATTCAAAACATTTCATCATCTTCTAAATCTCACACGATGTTCACCAAACATAAATGGGTTTTGTATGTCAACTTTATGGAATATTCCAATGGGAATTTAAACAAAAATAGTAGAAGCTTCGCAGATGTGGAATGTAAAAATAGAATAATAAAAGTTTAATGTAAATACTATATTTTAATAAAATTCTAAACAAATAATAATCGCTGACGCTGGGCTCACGACAAATCTTTTTTATCACAAAAGTTTTCATTCCCTAGTAACCTGATAACCAAATAATTTGGGTGTCATAAAGATTTGTTTATGGTAGAGATAATGGGAAGATGATTTTGAAGTAGATTTTTGTTACCAACAAATTCAGAGACTAGTAATTTGAAGTGCAGTGCCTAAGAGATAAGTAGCAAATTTATCGGAAGGTTGTCAGAAGTTCATCTAAATGGCCACTGCAATTGAACTGTCCACCATGGAGGTGGAAAAATTGTGTCACCAATATTTTGGTCAGAAGGATCTCTTCGGATCCGAAAACCCCTCTTCTAATGGAAATTTACACTTGAATGTAATCCGTTATCAATTACAACCCATATCCGATAGTCCTTCGGGATTTTTTGGCCACCATCGTTTCCTGGTGGTCGATGTCCAGGTTGCCAATACAGCTGAGGATGGCCACGAAACCATAAATTTCAACAGAATTCGTTTCTTTATCAAAGCAGCCCCAGTGGAGAATGTTTCCCGCATGGATTATTTGGAAGAATTTGGAGTCTACAAAAAGGAAATAATGGTCTATCGAGATGTTCTACCAGCACTGCAGAAAATATTTCCCGGAGTGGCGCCCAAGTGTTATTATGCCGATAATAATTTGTTAGTTTTCGAGGAGTTACAACAAATGGGTCATAAAATGGCTGCCGGCAGGGATGGCCTATTGGACTATGAGCATTTGCAGAGTGCAGTGAAGACACTGGCCCGCCTGCATGCAGCTTCGATGGCGTTTGAGTATCAACACAATGTGAAAATTAATGAAATTTATCCTTTAGCCACCAAAGAAGATGCCTATCCCGAGAATTTGCCTACCACTCACGTACGCTATCAAAATTTCGTCAATGGTCTGGAGGTGTTTGGTGAATTAATTAAACAAATGCCGAAATATGAGAAGCATGTGGATTATATTTTAGCGAACTTGAAATCCAAAATGTCAATAATATTCCAACTGGCTCAACCCTCAAAGGAATTTCGAAATGTCTTCTCACATGGTGATTTATGGGCCAATAATATGATGTACAAATTATCAGATGATAATTCCCTGGAATGTCGTTTAGTGGATTTTCAATTATCCCGTTATGCACCACCAATGTTGGATTTAATAACCCTACTCACCATACCCACTTCACGGGAATTTCGTTCGAAGTACCTTATGCAATTGTTGCAGGATTATTATGGATTCCTGAGGGAATTTTTAAAACTTAAACATCTGGATATTGAGGAGCTCCTAAGTCCCGCGGAATTTTGGCATACATTTGAACTGTATCGCATTTGTGGCCTTATCGAAAGTTGTTTCTTTTGTCATTTCATAATTTTACCTGTGGAATTGACTCAGTGCCTAACGGCGACCACTGAGGGTTTCAGTGATTTCTTCGCCCGTAAACGTGTGGAAATATGTCTCAAGGTATTCCACACGGATGAAATCTATAGGCGGAGATTAACTGATATGTTGGAGGATTTGGTGGATAATTATATTCTGGAGAAGGGGGGAGAAGAAAAATGAATGATAATATTTTATTTTTCATTTTTATTTTGTAATTAAAAAATATATATTATATTATTTTGTATAATATATAAAAAAGTTATTTTAATAAAATTTTTTTTAAAAATTTGGATGCTTTGAAAAAATGTTATTTAAATAATCCACGCCTAGTGTAGGTCCCTGAAAAAATATTCTTTAAATAATCCACGCCCAGTGTAGGTCCCTGAAAAAATATTCTTTAAATAATCCACGCCTAGTGTAGGTCCCTAACAAAATATTCTTTAAATAATCCAAGCCCAGTGTAGGTCACTGAAAAAATATTCTTTAAATAATCCACGCCTAGTGTAGGTCCCTGAAAAAATATTCTTTAAATAATCCACGCCTAGTGTAGGTCCCTGAAAAAATATTCTTTAAATAATCCACGCCTAGTGTAGGTCCCTGAAAAAATGTTATTTAAATAATCCACGCCTAGTGTAGGTCCCTGAAAAAATATTCTTTAAATAATCCACGCCTAGTGTAGGTCCCTGAAAAAATATTCTTTAAATAATCCACGCCTAGTGCAGGTCCCTGAAAAAATATTCTTTAAATAATCCACGCCTAGTGGAGGTCCCTGAAAAAATATTCTTTAAATAATCCACGCCTAGTGCAGGTCCCTGAAAAAATATTCTTTAATAATCCACGCCTAGTGTAGGTCCCTGAAAAAATATCCATTAACTGATCCATGCCTAGTGTAGGTCCCTGAAAAATTATCCATTAACTGATCCATGCCTAGTGTAGGTCCCTGAAAAATATTCTTTAAAAATCCACGCCGTGGTAAAGGTCTGAAAAAATGGATGCTTTTCAAAAATATTCTTTAAAAAATCCACGCCTTGTATGGATGCTTTTCAAAAATATTCTTTAAAAAATCCACGCCTTGTATGGATGCTTTTCAAAAATATTCTTTAAAAAATCCACGCCTTGTATGGATGCTTTTCAAAAATATTCTTTAAAAAATCCACGCCTTGTATGGATGCTTTTCAAAAATATTCTTTAAAAAATCCACGCCTTGTATGGATGCTTTTCAAAAATATTCTTTAAAAAATCCACGCCTTGTATGGATGCTTTTCAAAAATATTCTTTAAAAAATCCACGCCTTGTATGGATGCTTTTCAAAAATATTCTTTAAAAAATCCACGCCTTGTATGGATGCTTTTCAAAAATATTCTTTAAAAAATCCACGCCTTGTCTAAGGCCTTTTCAAAAATATTCTTTAAAAAATCCACGCCTTGTCTAAGGCCTTTTCAAAAATATTCTTTAAAAAATCCACGCCTTGTCTAAGGCCTTTTCAAAAATATTCTTTAAAAAATCCACGCCTTGTCTAAGGCCTTTTCAAAAATATTCTTTAAAAAATCCACGCCTTGTCTAAGGCCTTTTCAAAAATATTCTTTAAAAAATCCACGCCTTGTCTAAGGCCTTTTCAAAAATATTCTTTAAAAAATCCACGCCTTGTCTAAGGCCTTTTCAAAAATATTCTTTAAAAAATCCACGCCTTGTCTAAGGCCTTTTCAAAAATATTCTTTAAAAAATCCACGCCTTGTCTAAGGCCTTTTCAAAAATATTCTTTAAAAAATCCACGCCTTGTCTAAGGCCTTTTCAAAAATATTCTTTAAAAAATCCACGCCTTGTCTAAGGCCTTTTCAAAAATATTCTTTAAAAAATCCACGCCTTGTCTAAGGCCTTTTCAAAAATATTCTTTAAAAAATCCACGCCTTGTCTAAGGCCTTTTCAAAAATATTCTTTAAAAAATCCACGCCTTGTCTAAGGCCTTTTCAAAAATATTCTTTAAAAAATCCACGCCTTGTCTAAGGCCTTTTCAAAAATATTCTTTAAAAAATCCACGCCTTGTCTAAGGCCTTTTCAAAAATATTCTTTAAAAAATCCACGCCTTGTCTAAGGCCTTTTCAAAAATATTCTTTAAAAAATCCACGCCTTGTCTAAGGCCTTTTCAAAAATATTCTTTAAAAAATCCACGCCTTGTCTAAGGCCTTTTCAAAAATATTCTTTAAAAAATCCACGCCTTGTCTAAGGCCTTTTCAAAAATATTCTTTAAAAAATCCACGCCTTGTCTAAGGCCTTTTCAAAAATATTCTTTAAAAAATCCACGCCTTGTCTAAGGCCTTTTCAAAAATATTCTTTAAAAAATCCACGCCTTGTCTAAGGCCTTTTCAAAAATATTCTTTAAAAAATCCACGCCTTGTCTAAGGCCTTTTCAAAAATATTCTTTAAAAAATCCACGCCTTGTCTAAGGCCTTTTCAAAAATATTCTTTAAAAAATCCACGCCTTGTCTAAGGCCTTTTCAAAAATATTCTTTAAAAAATCCACGCCTTGTCTAAGGCCTTTTCAAAAATATTCTTTAAAAAATCCACGCCTTGTCTAAGGCCTTTTCAAAAATATTCTTTAAAAAATCCACGCCTTGTCTAAGGCCTTTTCAAAAATATTCTTTAAAAAATCCACGCTTTGTCTACGGTTTTTTGAAAAATATTCTTTAAAAAATCCACGCTTTGTCTACGGTTTTATGAAAAATATTCTTTAAAAAATCCACGCCTTGTATGGATGGATGCTTTTCAAAAATATTCTTTAAAAAATCCACGCCTTGTATGGATGGATGCTTTTCAAAAATATTCTTTAAAAAATCCACGCCTTGTATGGATGGATGCTTTTCAAAAATATTCTTTAAAAAATCCACGCCTTGTCTAAGGCCTTTTCAAAAATATTCTTTAAAAAATCCACGCCTTGTCTAAGGCCTTTTCAAAAATATTCTTTAAAAAATCCACGCCTTGTCTAAGGCCTTTTCAAAAATATTCTTTAAAAAATCCACGCCTTGTCTAAGGCCTTTTCAAAAATATTCTTTAAAAAAATCCACGCTTTGTCTACGGTTTTTTGAAAAATATTCTTTAAAAAAATCTACGCCTTGTCTAAGGCCTTTTGAAAAATATTTTTTAAAAAATCGACGCCTTGTGTGGATCCTTTTCAAAAATATTCTTAAAAAAATCCACGCCTTGTATGGATGTTTGAAAAAATATTCTTTAAGAAATCCATATTTTTTAAAAAACCATGGCTAATATTGCCAACCACTTATATGTTCTCTCCTAAAAAATCCACGCGGTTTATGTCTTGACTAATCTGAGCAAAAAACTTTTGGCCATTGTGAACTTTTTTCCAACGCCTAGCCAAATTCTTGTTTGTGGCTTAAAGTTTTTTTTACGTTATGAGCCATGTGCAGTGATTATTTGGTTTCGGGTTTTAGCCAAAAAGAAGAGACCAACACTTGCCACAAACTGAATTAACCGCCTCAACGGCTCAGAGAGCGTTTAGCGTAACGACGCAAAACAATTTTTTGAATGGGGTTTTTTACTTCGTGTAAAACTTAAATTTTAAACAGTTGTTTACGGGACGCGTTCGTTTCAACTTCGTTTTGGCGCTTCAATTTGTAATTCGCAAGCGAATTCAACAAATTTTCAAAACCAATTAACGGAAATTGTAAATATTTAAATTACAAGAGAAAAAAATTGAAAAAATCAACAATTAAACGGTTTTGTGTAAATTTTGTTGTAAAACAAAAAAAATTAAAATAAAAAAATTGTTCGGATCGACAGTTACTTTGATGTGAATTATTTTTTTTTTTCTTTCTTTCTTCATTATTTGTTTAAACGCGGTGTTTTGTTATTTGATTAGCTATTAACTCCAGCGATTTTTTTTTTGCAAACTACATTGTTTTTTGTTTTTTTTTTTATTTTGGTTTCAGTTAAACAGATTTTCAGCGAATAAAAATACCAACAACAACGACATCAAGCCATTACCTACAACAAAATTCGTGTACTTGTGAATCTTCCACATTAAGGTTGCAAATATCGAACAAGAAAACAACACCAACAAAAAACTCATCAAATTTTAATTTTGTAAATCGTGTACAAATTTCAGCAACAACAACAAATACAGAAGATGGAAAAAATGTGAGTTTCGAAATTATTTAAGTCGATATAGTGTGACATTGTTTTTGATAGAAAGTGTAATTATATGGAAATAATTGTTAAAAAAAATAGTTAAGAAGTCGGAAAAAGAACATAATTAATGAAAATAAAGAATACAAAAACAACAAATTTCAAAAAAAAATAACAAACCCTGAGGTCTGATTTTTTCTATAAAAAATACCCCAGACCATGAGGTCTGATTTTTTTCTATAGAAAAAAATACCTCACACTGAGATCTGATATTTTTCTATAGAAAAAAATTTCTCAGATTTCTCAGATGATTTTTTCTATAGAAAAAGATTCCTCAGACACAAAAAGAAAAATAAATCAGATCCCTGAGGTCTGAGGTATTAACCAGATTAGTTTTCTATAGAACAAATACCTCAGGAACTGAAGTCCGGATTTTTTCTATAAAAAATATAAAAAATACTTTACGCACTGTGGTCTGATTTTTTTTCTATAGAAAAATAAATGCGTCAGACATTGAAGTCTGATATTTGTTTCTATAGAAAATAATGTCTCAGACACTAAGGTCTGTTTTTTTCTATAGAAAATAATGTCTCAGACACTAAGGTCTGTTTTTTTCTATAGAAAAAAATGTCACAGACACTGAGGTTCGATTTTTTTTCTATAAAAAAAATACCTCAGACACTGAGGTTCGATTTTTTTCTATAAAAAAAATACCTCAGACACTGAGGTTCGATTTTTTTCTATAAAAAATACCTCAGACACTGAGGTTCGATTTTTTTCTATAAAAAAAATACCTCAGACACTGAGGTTCGATTTTTTTCTATAAAAAAAATACATCAGACACTGAGGTACGATTTTTTTCTATAAAAAAAAATACCTCAGAAACTGAGGTTCGGATTTTTTTTTATAGAAAAAAATACCTCAGAAGCTGAGGTTCGGATTTTTTTATAGAAAAAAAAATACCTCAGAAAGAAAAAAAATACCTCAGAAACTGAGAGCCAGATTTTTTTCTGTAGAAAAAAATACCTCAGAAACTGAGGTCCAGATTTTTTTCTATAGAAAAAAAATACCTCAGAAACTGAGGTCCAGATTTTTTTTCTATAGAAAAAAATACCTCAGAAACTGAAACGGGGGTCCGGGATGAAACTATATATGGGAGCTATATATAAATCTGAACCGATTTAAACAAAACTTGACATATATCAATCTAGACCTAATTCAGTACTCTGTCAAAGTTGTGTGCCAATCGGACCAATATTGGGAGTTTGGTGCACCATTTATAAAAAATCGGACGAAAATATATATGGGAGCTATATCTAAATCTGAACCGATTTTCTCCAATTTCAATAGGGTTCGTCCTTGGGCCAAATAAGTGACATGTGCCAAATTTCATCAAAATCGGATCATACATGCAACCTGTACTTTTTTCACAAAAATACATGGACGGACGGACAGACGGACATGCATAAATCGACATAGAAAGGAACCATGGGTCTATCTCGATTCATTTTGCCTGTTACAAACATATCCACAAAGACACAATACCCTCTACCACAGTCTGGTGTAGGGTATAAATATCCCACTGAGACCGGGTTCTAAGACAAATCACAAGATCTCTTTAGTATTTTTTTTTCTAAAAAAATGGCATCTATGAGCATTTTTTCTTAAAAAAAAATAAAAAAGCCTCATTTTGGCATTGCTTCTAAACAAGAAAGTCATATTTCACTCTAATATCAAATTTTTCCAATGCTCTGATATTGAAAATTTCCATTCCACAGAATTTTTGACCATTACATCACCCAATTGACCAATATTACCCAATTTACTATTTACAAATCTATGCAAATACATTTCAAGACAATAGTCCAATAAACAATTTGCCAATATTTTTGTTTATTTGTGTTGCGTATTTTTTTGTCTTCATTGCTTCCGAATTGCAAGCCAAATAAGCAAATAAAACTTAGTACCAAGTTTGTGTAAGTGTGTGTGTGTGTTAACAACAATTAGAGGGCAATAAATTTACTGATGTTATTATACCATTGACCATCAGCAGCAAATGCTAACATAACATCATCACCTACATTACCAGCATAAAACAATGGCAAAACAAATCGTAAAAATACACATTGTCGGTCAATAATGTTTGTCAGTCAATAGACATTTGGCGAAATATGGCTTTAGTGTGGCATAACACATTTGGCTGCGTTGATGTTGTATTTGAGGTAATTTATATTGTCTTTCGGAATTGAGTTTCTAGAAGAATTTTGAACATATCTATACGATCACAAAAATTACAACTGAGTATTCAAGGAGGGTTTAAGCTGTTCCGATTAACTCATATTGTATGATTAAACAATATATAAAAATGTGAAAGCAGAACAATAATCCCTCGATTTTTACAAACTCGTTCCTAGATATTGGGAATCCAAAAAGGCATCCTTCAAGTACGATCTGAAAAAGGTTCGGTTATCCCCGAAGCCTATTTTTGTTATTGCACATCGAATATATATGTATATATGGCTCTTCTGAATATATGGAGGCTTCTAAATAATCCATTATACAGATGACGAATTTTGAATTTTCGTCGAGCTGTCTACAATTTTCGATATTTTAAAAATCGAAAGCAACCTTGCTTAAGAATTTTTTTTAACTCAGTCCACGATGATCCGAAACTGACTATGACATGGAAACCGAAGATCAATCAGCACCAAAGAATGAAGACAGGAAAATTTACCAAAATTTGTTGGAATGTAAAATTTTACTCACAGATGATATGTGCAATTCGAGTTCCTTTTCACATTGTAATATATCTTTCAGGCCTCGAAAATGGAGAATATCAGACCATTCCTCCCAGACGTACTTCCCCTACAAATTGTCAAATTGTTGCTACATACTAAATTAATAATATCCTGCGAAAGGATAATCCGTTTTGACCCAGACTTTACATAACCTTTATATGTTTACTAAAACCATATCGTGTTCGAAGGTGAGAATTATTGTTCCTCTCCTTCTGGTACCTGCCCTCAAATGTTCCGTGTTTCGAAAAAGTGCAAATATCTTAAATATGCGAAAGGAGTATCCGGTAAAAACTCAGCACACCGTAAAATCTTCGTCAATTTTTCTATGAATCCCAAATTTGGATTTATAGACCCATTGTAGTACCTCCCACTATAATGGATCAACATTTATAACGAGTGGTTTTAACTAAGGCTGAAGTAAGCTCAGTCGCTGCCAGGGTCAACCTGAGGACCCACAAACCTTAAGTAAAAACACGAGTCATTACAATTTCAATCTTTATTATAATACTCTGGTGTTTACAATATGAATAATAGTTTGGATATGAGATAAAATTTTATGTTGGAATCTTCTAATCGGTAATGGTAGCTGGGTATGGAGGTCGGATCGTGAATAGCTGGCTGGTTACAGTCGGCTCGGGGTTGTTTAAGTGATGTCGGCTCGTAACTAATCGGCTGATTGGTTTTCGAGCTTGGTCGGCTCGAAGGTGTACGGCTGGTTACAGTCGAGATACTCGGCTAGCTGCTGTCGGTACGTTGGAGATCGGTTGGCTACAGCCGGCTCGAAGATACTCGGCTAGCTGATGTCGGCTGGCTACAAACGGCTCGTTGAAGATCGGCTAGCTGCTGTCGGTACGTTGGAGATCGGCTGGCTACAGTCGACTCGAAGATACTTGGCTAGCTGATGTCGGTTCGGTGAAGATCGGCTGGCTACCGTCGGCTCGTTGGTGATCGGCAGTATACAGTCGGCTCGTTGTTGGTCGGCAGATTCGGGGTTTTGTCAGGGTTCGGTTAGTAGTTAGTGGTTATTAGTATGGAGCTAGCTATGAGCGAGGAGCTTGCAAAGAGCGAGGAGCTGGCTAAGAGCGAGGAGCTGGCAAAGATCGAGGAGCTGGCAAAGAGCTGGGAGCTGGCTATGAGCGAGGTCGAACCGTCGTTAACATTCACCAGTGTACGAGACTGCGGACAAGCCACACATCTTCGTCATTCGTAGTTCGTTAACGTCCGAGGTCGACCCCTTCGGCATGGAAAAGTGGAACATATATCCATATGGTACTATGAAGTGAATGAGAATTATTGTGTACTTCCAGGACATTGTCTGTCGTTTAATGCAATGAAGTTGAAGAACGCAGGTAATGATACCGGCTTAGGTTTAGAGTGAGACGTTATTCACTACTAAATATTGAGGTGGGTTGACACCTTACACATTTTTGAAATTTAATCCTATTTGACCCCAACATTGCATAAAAGTAATTTTTCAATCTCTTAATCGATTACAGATCAACAACTCCTCTGCGGCATCTTTTCCGAATCATGTTTTCCTGGAGTAAAATTTTGTTATTTAACACCAAAAAGTAGTGTTTTTTGACCTCTAAACATTGACCGTTCATTACCATGGCAATCACTTGAATTAGTTGGAAATTTGTAATGTTGGACTTATAATTGAGAACTTATAATTCAGCGTCGTCTTTGACCATAAAGCAAAAAGCTCAGGCAAAATTCCCTAGTTATCAGCGCTTCATTTCCGTCCTCTGGTGTGGTATACAATTTCAGAATATTCTGCATTTTGGAATTTTTGGGCATATTTCTCAACCGAATTGTCTGTAATTTCATATTTTGGATTTTCATTGGATAAAAAGATTCATATAAATTATAAACATTGACCTAAATTTCGGAGTAATCGAAGCACCCCCATTATACAGAATTTCAGATAAAATGTTTAACCGAGTTTTTCTCGGCCAACGTCTGTCACCTCGGCCCAGTGTATAAAAGCAATAGGGCTGCTACAACAACAACCAAAAATAATCAATATCAGTCCTCGTTTTTGGTATAGCCCGCACAATTTTCAATATTTTTAGGTTGTTTTTAACAAAATTTGCTGTAATCATTCCAATCTTTCTATCGTTGTCCTCGTGGAACACGACACCTCTCTTGTTGGTCAATTGCTATCTTCAAACGGTCCAGTTTAACGATTCAGAACTTAGCGTTTGGCCATAT